ATTTTTAACCACTTTAATTCAGTGGCATTAAGTCCATTCATGATGTTGTGCAACCATCACCACTATCTAGTTTCAGAACTTTAAAAAATTTTTTTATTTATTTTTAGAGAGAGGGGAAGGGAGGGAGAAAGAGAGGGAGAGAAACATCTAGGTGAGAGACAAATGTGAATCAGTTGCCTCTTGCACGCCCCAACCAGGGACCTGGCCCGCAACCCAGGCATGTGCCCTCCTGACTGGGAAATGAGCCAGCAACCTTTGTGCAGGCCAGTGCTCAGTCCACTGAGCCACACCAGCCAGGGTGCTGGTTCATTCTTGAGTAGGTACTCAATGATGCACAATAAATGGTAGTTATTGTTTGCTTCATAAAAGCCACGACAGTGGGGTTCTTTTAAATTGTATGCCACTGTGTCTAAACTGCTTATTTAACAAAAACTGAGGTAACACAACATAATCACCTCCTCCAATAGGGGTTGAAGTAGGAAAGTTAACTTTTGCCTCCCAGACAAGTTGAGGAGGTGAGAGATAACTGTATGTTCAAAGACAGATCATAGGTTACAAGCTTTAAAATGCTATTGGATTTTTAAAAATATATATTTTATTGATTATGCCGTTACAGTTGTCTTATTCCCCCCCATTCCCCTCCACCCTGCACACCCCTCCCCTACCATTCTCCCTTTAGTTTATGTCCACGTGTCTCGAGTTCTTTAGATTCTGTATTTCCCCTATCTATTTTCTACCTACCGTCTGTGCTACTTATTCTCTGTACCTTCTCCCCCCTTCTCTTCCTCCTCTCACTCCCCTGTTGCTAACCCTCCATGTGATCTTCAGTTCTATGGTTCAGCTCCTGATCTAGCTGTCCTCTTAGTTTGGTTTTGTTTTAGGTGTGATTGTTAGTAACTGTGAGTTTGCTGTTCTTTCACTGTTCATATTTTTTTATCTTCTTTTTCTTAGATAAATCCCTTTCGCATTTCATATAATAAGGGCTTGGTGATGATGAACTCCTTGAATTTGATCTTATCTGAGAAGCACTTTATCTGCCCTTCCATTCTAAATGAAAGCTTTGCTGGATAGAGTAATCTTGGATGTAGGTCTTTAGATTTCATGACTTGGAATACTTCTTTCCAGCCCCTTCCAGAGACCTGTAAGGTCTCTTTTGAGAAATCAGCTGACAGTCTGATGGGAACCCCTTTGTAGGTAACTGTCCCCTTATCTCTTGCTGCTTCTAGGATTCTCTCCTTCATTTTAATCTTGGCTAATGTAATTATGATGTGCCTTGGTGTGTTCCTTCTTGGGTCCAACTTGTTTGGGACTCTCTGAGCTTCCTGGATTTCCTGGAAGTCTATTTCCTTTGCCAGATTGGGGAAGTTCTCCTTTATTGTTTGTTCAAATAAGTTTTCCACTTGTGGCTGTTCCTCTTCCCCTTCTGGTACCCCTATAATTCGGATGTTGGAACGTTTAAAGATGTCCTGAAGGTTCCTAAGCCTCTCCTCATTTTTTTGAATTCTTGTTTCTTCATATTTTTTTGTTTGGTCATTTTTTCCTTCCTTCTGGTCCACTCCCTTGATTTGAGTCCCAGTTTTCTTTCCATCACTACTGGTTTCCTGTGCATTTCCCTTCATTTCAATTAGTTTAGCCTTCATATGTTCCTCTAATTTGTGACTAAAATCAACCAGTTCTGTGAGCATCCTGATCACCAGTGTTTTGAACCGTGCATCTGAAAGTTTGGTTATCTCTTGGTCACTTAGAAGTATTGGCTCTGAGGCTTTGAGCTGTTCTTGAGCCATAATGATTTGGTCTGTTCATGCCTATTATGTATGAGGGGCAGACAGAGCCTTAGGTGTTCACCAGGGCAGGGCTGCCCAGGTCGCTGGGTTGTGACACTGTATGTGGGGGTGGGGTCAGAGAGGGGCAGTGGCGGTCCCCTCTGCTGCTTCCTGCCGCTGGGGCCTGCACCATCTGTCTCACTGCTCACTCCTTTTTGCTGGTTTATCTGCGTGCGAATGTGTGACCACGATCAGCCTGCCGCCTTGAGCCCTCCCTGGGTCTGTGGGTGCTACCCCACACCTGGTATCTGTCAATAGCTGCCTGTGGGCCTGGGTCAGTCCAGGGGATCTTTTCTGCCTGACCCTGCTCCGCTGCTGGCTCCGCCCCTCTTGCTGGTCTGGCTGAATGGTTCGTTGTGGTCGGACTTCCATATAGTTCAATTTTCTGTGTTTTGGCTGCGTTTTTGTTGCTAAAACTTTGTTGTCTTTAAATTTGGTTGTGGGAGGAGGCACAGTGTTTCCACCTACACCTCCATCTTGGCCGGAAGTCCTAAAATGGTATTGGAATTTAGAGGAGGAAAGTCACTGCTGGTGATTAGATGCTTAACAAATATTTGAATTAGTGAATGAGTGAATGAATGAATGAACAGTTGAACAGTCAAATCCACAGCAGGCCTATGGAAGTAGAACTTGACCTGGGTCCATTTAATATGTCCCACTGCCTGTCTTTCATCTGTAAAATATAATCTGGTCTTTAGGGACACAGAGCAGTCTGTAAGGTGGATGAGAGAAACTAGATTATGGCCGGTTATACCTCCATCAAGGAAGCTTAAAGGGAGGTAGATTTGGGCTCAGTACAAGGAAGAACTTACTGTTCATGTTGGAGGAGGAGAGACAGTCCTGTGTATGTCAGGCCAAGGCCATTTAAATTCTTTGAGATGTGGAGATAAGGAGACTTTATTTCTAAATCTTTCCATTTTGCAAAAACATTTCATTTCTCTGTTCCTTTCAGTGAACTTAATGGATTATTAGTTGACGAACTGATAGGTGTTTCCTTAATTTCTCTTTCTTTTCCTGTGCTCTTTCCACTCTTCCCCTCATTGCTCTCTACTCATGTAACCTGTTTTGTTTTCCTTCATCACACTTGTCACTATCTGACACTATATGTTTATTGCTTATTTGCTATCCCCCAACTATTAATAGAATATAAGCTCCGAAGCAGATGATTTGTCCACCAGTATATGCCTGGCACACACCTGGCTCTCAGTAAACATTTGCTGAAGCTTCATATAAAAATAAATAACATGTATAAATAGCTGTACAGTTTTTCCTAAATATAAAAGTAGTACTCGTTTCTTGTTAATAAAATACAGAACGGTATGAGAATTTAAAAATTGGAGGAATTTATCAACGACAATTTGTATACCCCTGAGAAATGTGCTTGATTGAGTTCATGTTGAAGTTTGAGATGTTTTGGCCCAATCAAGCCAGTAAATAACACAGATTTAACTCCATCTGTTTTTTTGTTTGTTTGTTTTGTTTTGTTTTGAATGTACAAAAGGTGCTGCTAAGGAAGGATGGCTCCATAGGGATTACCTCTGGGAACACAGAATCCAGAGCCACACAATAGGCTTCTACGTTATCTAGAGAATCTCTTTCTTACCTCCTGTAATTGGTGGTATATAATTAGGCCTGCATATGACTTCTGAACACTGCCGTACAATGCACTTCATTTAGCTGGGCTTATGGAGATTAGATCATGCACAGGAAGCTGGCTTCTTGGTTATCGAGCTCCACAGAGGAGTTGGGAGGTTTAAGGAGTGTGAAAAATTAGGGTTGATTTAAAGGGACAGGGTTTCTGGAAAAGCATAGAGATTTTTCTGTCTTGGTGCCTCCGTGACCTATTGTTTCCCATAAACACTGTTGATTCCTACCTCAAAAATGTTCTGGAAATAAAGTCCTCTTTTTTTTTTTTTTTTTTAAGATTGATTGATTGATTGCTTTTTAGAGAGAGGGGAAGGGAGGGAGAATGAGCGGAAGTGAAATGTTGATCAATTGCCTCTCAAGTGCCCCCAATCCCAGGGACCTGTCCTGCAAACCAGGTCCTGACTGGGACCTGAACCAGGAACCCTTTGGTTTGTGGGACAATGCCCAACCCATTGAGCCACACCAGCCAGGACTAAATAAGGGCTTCTTTAAGCATCCTATTCCTCATCCTTTAAAATAGGGCTGCTAATACTGACTTTGTGAGATTGTTAGAATTTTAATGAGGTAACTCCTTAGAGAATCTAAGATAGTACCGGGAAGATGCAAATCCTACCATAGTTCCTGGGACACGTACTAAGTCTGTAAGCATGTCAGTGTCTGTTCTTCCTCCTTTCATCATCATCATCACTGTCCACACTACCAGGCTTTTATTGTAACAGAATTTTATTGTGAAATCCTACTATGTTTGCCTGGAGTTTTGAATAGCATTTTGCACTTCTTAAGATACTTTTAAGTTACTCACCTTGAGCTATTGTTATAATTGGTCTACTTGTTTTATTCTTGATAGAGCACAAGCAATCTTTGAGATGACTGTATTCATTTTTATATTCATTATAGCACCTAGGACAGTACTTTGATCTCTGGGTATTAAAAAAATGTGTACCATAATTATTGTTAATAAAAACCAGCATTCTCACACACTTAACCCTATAAAGTCAGTGAAGATCTAGGTGCACAGCGTAACTTCTTCAAACATTTATTGATTTGGAGAGAAGAGGACATGCCACTGTGGCAGTGATGTCTTAAGAGTGACAAATCTAGAGCAAGCTATGTTTTTTTTCAAACTCGTTTTATCTTTTTTTCTAGGCATTAATTGCTTGTTAGTTCCCAAGAGCAGAGCCTTCAACAGTAAGGGAATTACTGTGCAGATGAATAATAGGCGGATTAGGAGACAGAGGTAGTCAAAAGTAGGAAAGTGAGCGGTCAGAAAGTGGGTTAATTTACCCACGTTGCCCAGCAGTTTTTCAGGCTGTGCACACAAAGGGGCTGTAGTCCTGTCTCCCTCCCTGTGTTTGAGCCTGTCTGTCAACCTCAAATGATTTCACTGGCCTCAGAGCTAAAATTGTTCGTCTTAGGACCAGAGTGTTGCTCATGTAGGACTCTGAGCCCTGCTAATAAGCGTATGGTGTTTGACTCCCGTTCCTTGGGCCTTGCAGTCACGATACCTCTCACCATCTCCTTTTCCCCTAGGTGTACGTGGTCGGGAATGAGCCTTTAGCAGTTTTGGTGGATTCCCTGCTTCCAGTCCTGGGAGTGTTCTTTTCTCTCTACTCTTTTACCAAGCAGAGTGTGTCACATATAAGGTAAACAACGAGAGAGCCTTATTTGTTTATAAATAGTGAAGTCTTCTCTTGCATGTTGTTCTTATTTTGAATTTGATTTATGCCACCTTGTAGTTGTTTATTCCTTTCAAAGCCAGGAACACATTTGAGAATCCTCTCATTCTGCTCATCTAGAAAAGAGAGAGCCTTGCAGATTGAAGGGGTTGGATGCAGTTTTTAGAATGACTTCCCTGAGCTTTAGTCCTAGACATCAGATGAGAAATCTTTGTTTACGTGTGTGAACATGCCACTGTTGAATCAGTGGAAAATGCTGGGATTACATGTCTAGGAAGGAGGCAGTAGGGATGGATCGTAACTACCTTGTGGAGAGTTAGAAATTGAGCTCGGGAAATCTGGAGCTGAACGTGGCACTCTGTAATTTAGACTTGGGTTTGGTGTTAGTGCTGCCCCGTGTTGTTTAGAATGAAGTCGTGCCTTAGCCGTGCAGAAAATGACCTTTTGTACTGGAATTTAAGTAGGACTCCTTTTGTATCAGCTCTGTTTGCACAGCCGCTTATGTTGCTTCTTCCTCCTTGTAAGTTTATATCCTTTCTAAAATCCTACAGAATTTGATTTTTGGTGTTTGGAAACCTCCCATGTATAACCTGATATACAATCGTACCTTCTTCACTTGGTTATCATGAAGACTAACTATGCATTAAATTATTTAGCAAATAGAAAAATATCATCATCAAGTGGTGAAGGAAAGTACAGTTGATGCTTGAACAACATAGGTTTGAACTGTGTGGGTCTACTTACACACTGTTTTTTTTTGTTTTTGTTTTTTTTCAACAAATACCTGTGCTGTTTTCAGTCTGTGGTTTGCAAGTCCATGGTTGCGAAGGACTGCATGCATTAATCTCTGCCATTTTATGTCGGGGCCTGAGTATCTTCAGAGTTTGGGATTCACAAGGGGTCCTGGGACCAGTTCTCCACAGATACCAAGGAACAGCTTACGTTTTTTGGGAGTTAAAGTTATACATGGATTTTTGACTATGCAGGGGGGTTGGTGTCCCTAAGCTGTTCAAGTCTTGCGTATTAGTCAAAGCTTACATATTGCCTTTGACTCTAACTTTTGGTTAGTGTGTCATCGTGGCCCAAAGCCATAGGGAAGTGACAGTAACAAGTCATTTTCTGGAAGATGGAGACTATAAAACATGTGAACTTGGCTTCAAAGGACCATCCATATAATAACTCTTGTCTCAGTTTTGAAACCCAAGTTTTCATAGCACTGTCACATCCGCGTCCGAGACCAAGAAGGAAGACGCAAACGTATATTCCATTCCTCTCCTAGTTGATTGGTGCCAGTACAAGGGGAGGAGGAATCAGCAAGAATTTGTCAGTATGCCATTTCTTGCTTACCAGCGATTGGGTCCATTGATAGTGATGGTTTGTTTCATCAGTGTAAATTTTCTTTCACAGTGCCTGATCCAATGACAATGGGCACACTTGGTATTATTTTTAAAAAATTTATGTGGGACTTATATGTCATCTCACGGTTGCTTCTAGAGCCAAAGGTCAGTTTGTCAGTCATTGGATTTCAGGATATTTGTGTTCTAAAATTCACAAGAAGCATACTTTCCACTCCTGCACTTCAGTAGTAGTACTAGGTGATTGTGCCAGCATTTAGAATGCAGTGGGACCAGAAAGTCTTTCTTTCTGTCTTGTTAGATGTGTAGAGTAAGATGACAAGCTCATTTATAACCGTTTTTTCCTGCCAGGTCACTTTGCCAAGAAATCTTATTATGGATTCTGGGGAAACTGGAGAGGAAGACAGCAATTGTCAGCCTGAAAGGTTTTGCAGGATTGGACAAATCTGTGCCTTCTCTCCATTCTCTGTGTCAGTTTAGAGCTGCCACTCAAGGTGGCATAGTGATTACCATCAAAGAGGCCATTCGGTGAGTCCAACCATCCTTGCTGTCTCTCTTCAGATGTGATTGCGTGGGAAGGCCATTCTGTGGCTTGTCCACTAAGGGGCGCTGATGGAAAGGAAACCAAACCCTGAAGAGGCTGAGGCGGAGGTGCTCCTGTTTATTATAATCTCTAAATGAACTGTGAGCCTTAAGTAATCCTCCAGCTTTTCTCTAGATGCTTAGCTAATAGTAGGTGCAGTTTACTGGAGCCTCACGGCTCTGCGTTGTGGCAATCCCACGTGCTTCACAAAGTCCCCGCCAGTGAGTCAGAGTAAAGGGCAGACCAGTGCTCTTTCTCACTCCCGAAGTGGTATATGGGTGTTCAGAGCCAGACTTATTCCTACGGGAAATTGCTTGATCGATGTCTTTTATGACAGTATTATAGTGGGGATTTGTTTCTCCTAGAGATTGACTAGAAGGTGTTTAATAATTGTTATTGGAATGGATTATTTATTTCTCCAACATCTCACAGTGTATTTTAAGTTATTTCCACTTTCTGGGTGATCTGTGTAGATGTTAGTACCTCAGAATGTAAATTCTTATTGATCAGAGCTTGTATAGTATTTAACTGGCGGCAGCTACTCTACATCACATGACAAATGCTGCCGTTTGTTAGAGGGTTTAAATTTAATTTTTAAATCCACGGCTAACTTTACATTTTAGAACACTCTTTCAATATGATGGACGGGAGGAAAACAGAAAAAACCCACATTGACTGCAAACAGAATTACCCGTACAAACTCTGTCTAGTGATTTACTGAGAGTTGTTTTATTGAGCATTGGCAGGTTCTGTGGTTATAACTATGCCTCTAAACTGAAAGAGCTTAAAAAGTTCTGGCATGTTTATTTTTTTAAATGTTTTATTTATTTATTTATTTATTTATTTATTTATTTATTTATTTATTTATTTATTTATAGAAAGATGGGAAGGGAGGGAGAAACATCAATGTGAGGGGGAAACATCGATCGGTTTCCTCTCTCACACCCCCAACCTGGGACCTGGCCTGCATCCCAGGCATGTGCCCTGACCAGGAATTGAACCAGCAGCCCTTTGGTTCATGGGACAGTGCCCAACTCACTGACCCATACAAGTCAGGGCTCTGGTATGTTTTTTTAAAAACCGCTTTGGAACAGTTTAAGCAGGGACCAATTTTGTGAATATACAGGTAATCTTATAGTATTTAACTTATCAGTAGTTAAAACTTACTTCTATCTTAACAAGTCCTTAGTGTACTTCTTAGTGCACATATGTCAAAATCATCTGTTCTTATTGAAACTAGTTTCTCTTCATGGTAGGAAAAATAATAAACAGTGCTATCAGATCCTTAACCTGGGTCTCTGTGTGGACTTAAAAGGGCTGTAATCTCCTTGGAATTACCACAACAAATTTTCCTACATGCAAGCATGGATTTTTTTCCCCCCTCTGGGGTAACAGGAAAATAATTTAAACAAAATTTTGAGCTATTTCTAATGATTTGTTGTATGGAAATAACATGTTACTTTAGAATATTATTAATGGGGTTTCAAAAAACATCTCTGGGTGATCAGTCTTACCAAGATAAATCGACTCCACATTGCAGTGATGAAGATGAAGCCCTGTACCAGAAGGTGTCCTCAGAGCAGTGCCAGGTAGAGCATCTCGCGGACTTGCTGTCCCACTGCCAGGAAAGTGGTTTGGCTGGTGACTTCTTCATCTTCTGCTTGAAGGTAAAACTGCCTGTAGAGTTCATGGCCAGCTTTATTCCAGGGTAGTATCAGGAGCCCCTTTGAATTTTAAAGGCCGTCATAATTTCAGGTTCTAAAATTAGGTCCTGAAATAATCAGAGATTATTTAGGAGAAATAATCAGAGAACATAAGGGTGATTTATCTTTCAGTAGGTTTGGTAAAAAGAAGAAACTTACCTTTGGCAACACGCACATGATTGACCGACTTCAGCACTGAGTTCTTAGAGAAGACCAAAGCAGAACTGTGATCTCTGAAAGGGTTAATCTTTACTCTGTGTTCACAGGAAGAACTCTTTTGAAGTTAATAGCAGGTTTTACAGCTATAGAGTAATCCCTTATCCTTTCTGACTATTGTTTTGTCAGGTATTTGGAAAGGAGATTTAGCAGTTCTGTCTCTCTCATTTTATTTTGTAGCCGCTTGCAACCTTTGCTGGGTTTGCTTCTTGGCTCTGGTGGTTGCGCTTCCCTTTGTCCTGATCTCCCACGGTAACCTGGACCCACACAGTTGTTTGCTTATTTGCTCTGTTTGAGAACACAGGCCCGGTGATCTCTGGTTCCCTGTCCCCTAGTTCTGCCTTCTTCATTGTTCTCCCTAAATCAAGTGTCTACTCCAAGAGAATGTGTGTGGAGTTTAGGGATGGTGGGGTGCGGGAGCATGGAGAGGGGGTGGTAGGGCTGACACCTCTCAGGTTTGAAGTAGGGGATACTTTCTGATGCTTGTCTCCCCTCCATGTTTACATCCACCCCCCTGCCCAGCCCCTCATTGTAAATAACATTAGAAGAATGTATTTTCTAAAAATATATTTAAAAAACTAAATAAAAAATAAAAACAAAAAAGGGAGAAAAACAAAGGAAAAAATAATATATCCTTTTAACTGGATACTTAGAAATTTTTTTTGGTTTAAAAGAAGCAAAGGGCTTTCTTTGCTCTAATCCAAGGCTTTCCCACCTTGGTAATTATTGACATTTTGGGCTGGGTAATTTTTTGTTGGCAGCAGGTGAAGAGGAGATGGGAGGGGGCCTTCTGGCTTTGGAGGTAGGGGGGCTTCCTGTTCTTTGTGTGATGTTTAGCAGCATCCCTGACCTCTACCCACTAGGTGTTCCTATCATCCTCCAATTACAATGACCAGAAATGTCCCCAGGCATTGCTAAATGATCCCCTGGGTAGCGAAACTGCTCAGGCACAGTTGGGAAGCACTGCTCTAAACTGTCAATTACTTTGTTAAAGCATTAATTGTTAAATAACTTAAGGTTTTCCTTTCCTAAGGAAATTTGCCATGTGAAGGGTAGGGGGAATGTCTATAAAACCCACGGTAATGAATTATCTATTGATAGAAGTTCTAAATATCTTAGGGAAAAAGGGCTGCGGTGCTGAAAGCATCTAATAGTATCTAAAAAGGGTTTGGAAATGTTCTATGGCTTCAGTTCAAGGAAGGCTAGTGATAGAGGTCATAAAGATACTGGTCAAGTAAGTAGTCTGTGTGTGGGTTTTGTGTGTGTGTGTGTGTGTGTTTTTCATTCTGAGTTTTACACTTTCACACACAGGATATCATAGTATATGTACTATTCTGCCACTCAGGTTTTTCACTCCACTGTGTTTTTGAGATCTCTCTATACTGATATCCACACAGACCTAGTTCATTGATTTCAACTGCCAATATGTAATAAATACATTGTAATTTATTCATTCTCTTGTTGCCGGACATTTTTGTTTCCAGTTTTGGGCCATTATAAATAATGCTACAGTGAACACAGACAAGTTCTTTGAATACACATCTCAGACAGAGTTTTCTCGCTGTTTTTGAGCCCTTCGTTCTACAGGCTTTTTCTTCATTTTTTGCTTTTCTCCTACACTGATAGGAGTTGACTCGTGTGGCCGCGGAGAGTGAAGCAGAGTTAAAAACGCAGCCCTTCTCCAGCAAAAGCCTGTTGGAATTGGAGCAGCACCAGACTCTTCTGGTGGAAGGCCAAGAGCAGAAGCTGCTGGTCCTACAGCTGGTGGCTGTTCTGTGTGAGAGAATGTCTGAGCAGATATTCACAAACATCGCTCAGGTTGGTTGGTGGCTGCCACATTCTGGATCCAGCCTGGTTTGGTTTCTTTATGTTCTTTCCCCAAAATGTTGCTCAGAGTGTGGTTTAATGACGCCTGCAGCAGTGTTACCTGGCATGCTGGTTAAACATGCAAATTACTGAGCCCACTGCAGACCGAGGGAATCAACACTTCACAGGTCCTGGGAATGGCACGTTCAACAACCTCCCCTCCACCCCCCCCACCCCCGCCCCCGAGGTGATTCTCACGCACATAAAACTTTAAGGACTGTGTTAAATGTTTGTATGTAGTATCACAGTGGTTGTCAACTTTAGGTGCAAATAAAATCGTCTGGGATCTTTTTCAAAGTACTGATGCCTGGGCCACTTTTAGAGGTTCTGATCCAGCGTGTCTTCATTAGAGCCTGGGCATCTGTGTTTTCCAATGCTCTGTGGATGATCGTAATGTGGAGAATGATCAGAAACTCAAATTTGAAAAACGCTGATCGCCTTGATTTTTTCAGGCCTTCTCCCCAATAGCCTGTGAAATTTTAAGATTTTAAAAAATGCTTTCAGAGTAGAGTGACAATGTGAATCGGCACCTGAGTTTTATTGGCTCCGACATAATTTTTACCAGCTTTTTTTTGTTTTAGAATTTTTTAAAAATATTTAATTTATTTATCTTTAGAAGGGAAGGGAAGGAGATAAGGAGAGAAATATCAGTGTATGGTTGCTTCTGGTGCATCCCCTGCTGGGAACCGGCCCCTGCTGGGAACTGGCCTGCAACCCAGGCATGTGCCCTGATGGCGAATCGAACCGTGATCTTTTGGTTCGCAGGCCTGTGCTCAATCCACTGAGCTACACCAGCCAGGGCTTTTACCAGTGTTTTTAAAAATAGGAAATAAAAATAATAAAGCATAGGCAGTGCAGGTGCCATATTTTACCACTTTACCAGAATTGCTTGTTGCTTGGTCGGTGAGTAGTCGGTTGTAAGATGGTATGGCTGTCACGCTTCAATCTGATTCTCCAGTTCTTTGTATCCTTCTCATTGTCATCTGCCTTCGGGTGTTGCTAAGCAGCATTTCAGTACAGCTCCCGCTGAGAAAATTTGCAGCTGCCTGTCAGTTCCGACTTAATCGTGACTGTTTAATGAAAATCCTGGTCATGATTTCTTTCCTGTCCTCTGATTCCCTCAGTTCACTGACCCTGTGTTATGTTACTCAGTGGGGGGATTTGTTTCTCCTGTGTTTTTACCGGTTCCCTGAAGACTTTTTCATGCAGACCTTATGCTTTTTTCTCAGGATGCTAGTTGGAGGGGAAATGATCTAAAAACTGATAGGACTTGAGCTTTTGCACTTACCTCCTTTTATTCCTAATTAGGGAACAATGATTTTAGGTTGATACAAAAATGATTTGTCCCATTTAATTATCCTTCAGCCCTGGGTGGTGTGGCTCAGTGGATTGAGTGCTGGCTACAAAGTGAAGGGTCGCCAATTCGGTTCCCAGTCAGGGCACATGCCTGGGTTGCAGGCTAGGTCCCCAGTTAGGGGCATGTGAGAGGCAACTGATTGATGTATCTCTCACACATTGATGTTTCTCTCTCTCTCTCTCTCTCTTTCACCCTCCTTACTCTCTAAAAATAAATAAATGAAATCTTTTAAAAAATAAAAGAGAATAATATTTGGAAACTGGAAAATAGTAGCTATTTTAGCAACTTCAGAAAATGGGAAGCTAAATGCCTGCGTGGGAGAAGTCAGGAAACAAAACACTATATTTCAATGAAATTGTTTTAAAAATTAATTTGAAAAGAATAAAAAGAAGCAAGCTACTTCTCACTGCAGAACCCCAGAAGGACTGGGGGCCTTAGATAAGCTCTAAAGATGGAGCTGAATTTAGAGCTTCAAACAAGTGGAAAGGCAGTAGACCCCGTGATTGCTTCCTCAACTTTGTACAGCCGTCTCCCTCCTGCCCCTGCCTCTGCCCCAGCAAAAGACTGCAGGTTTATTCTTGAAAGCCGGTGAACCCAGGAGATTCTGCACTTGGGTGGTGTTCGCAAACTGAAAACTGCAGGATTAAGTTGCCGTCTACATACTCACCAGTGAGGCCTCTAGTCCCTCCCCCTCACTGGCCAGAATGGCGGCAGCAGGTTCATCCATCCCCACAGGATTATTGTGAGGATTGAGTCAATGCCCATAATGTATTCCAAATGGTCCACAATAAGTGCTTACTGTTGTTATTAAATTAACCAGCTACAAAATTAAGAATGGTTGCCTTTGTAGGGCCGGAATCAGTTGGAGAGAAATGGAATAGGACATTCTGTTTTTTGTTAAATGTTATACCTTTACCAAAAAGAAAAATTAAGTTAAAAGTTAAAGTCTCTCCCCACTCTCCGAAACAGGCTTCAGTCATGTACCTGTTCTCGTGGCTGGCAGCCCCATGAAAATTACAGGAAATGAGTAGTAGGGGGAAGAGCCGTTATCCAAATGGTCTGGTGGTTTTGTTGTTACAAGGGAGTTTGGGGGAGAGGGGGGCATCATGGATGGTGACAACAGTTGACTGTCACACCAGCTAATTGCTCTCAGGGTTTAAAATATATATATAGAGAGAGAGACAGACAGACAGACAAACATAGAAAATTCCTTCTTAACAAAAATAGGACGATACTGGTTTTGCAATATTAAAAAATTTATATTTTATGGAGAGGAACTTAGAAAACCTCAGAAGTCTAGATAGGTTTTCCCAATAATTTAACAATGCTTGTGCTGAAATAGAAGCTTCCTATAAACAATATGTGCTTTAGAAAACTCTTTTTTTTTTTTTTAAGATTTTATTTATTTATCTTTAGAGGGGAAGGGAAGGAGAGAGGGAGAGAAACATCAATGTATGGTTGCCTTTCGTGTGTCCCCTGCTGGGCATTGGCCTGCAGGGAACCGGTCTGCAACCCAGGCATGTGCCCTGACTGGGAATCGAACCGTGATTGTCTGGTTCGCAGGCCCGTGCTCAATCCACTGAGCTAGAAAACTCTTTAAAGGTGAAATAAGTAGCCCAGGATGGTAGGTAGGCAGTTTCTCTGAGAGGACCAGTGCCCTTCACTTCTGGTGTTAGTAAAGCCCCGGGCTACAGAGGTGGTGAAATTGCCATAGCCAGCACATTTCAGTGAATGGAACTTCAAATAACCTTTCTAGCTTCCTGCCTTACTCCAAAAGACAAGTGTTAACAGGCCTTTTTTTTTTTTTTTTTTTTTACTCTAAGCTTGCAATAAAGATTCTAGCATAGCGTGTAATTTGCCCAGAGAGTTGAACATGCAAGCTTGCATGGTATTTAGAGGCTTACTATGACCTATCTCAGCTGCCCCATTTTCAAAATTATTTTTCCCTTTTCAGCCATTAATCCCCCGTATGTTGTGTGCTTGGGCATGCACGTGTGTGTGCACGCACATGTGTGTGTGTGCTGTCTTTTATTCAAAGGTGGTTCTGCTTAGGGTGATTAACCAACATGCAGTTAAAATGATGCTGACCAAATTAATTCCATTTAAGGCTTAGTTGTTAGCCAAATGTGATGTAAAGTGTTACATATGAATAATCTTAATCCTTGAAAAATATCTGATACTTAAAAAAATGACTCTGGATAATTTGTGCACAGTGCCTGAGGACACCGGCTTTGACATAAACTTGAACACGTCTTTCCCCTTCTTCGCTTCCTAGAACTGCACTGTCAGAGGGCAGAGGTGGGGAGGTGTCCCTGAGGAGGAAATCTCATCAGGAGAAGCAGATCTAGGGCCCTCTAAGACGGTCAGAAGGTCACAAATCATTTTCCATTTTCATTTCCTGGAAAAATTCATGAAAAGTCAAGGATGTTGGATTAGAATATGAAGACATTTGGGAAAGTATAAACAAGCTTTCTCATTTATTGACTCTGTGGCCTGGACCAGATAACCTCTGTAAGTCTCAGATTCTTCACCTGGAAGTGAGTTTAAGAGTAGTGACCTCCTGGGGCTTGCATGAGACCTAAGTAAGATTGTGCATGAGAAACACAAGATTGTGCATGAGAAACACTGAGCGCTGGGCCAGCCACACTGCGCCAGTTGCTCTTGCAGGTTTTTGCTATCACGATGTCCATGTGGATGATGTGAAGAAAATGTTGAGTTTTTTTTTCTTACTCCTCACTGATACTAAATCCCATCCCCATGGCAGGTGGTGGAGTTTGTAGCAGCCACCCTGCAGCGAGCATGTGCAAGTGTGGTGCACCAGACGGAGAGTGCCGTCGACTCACAGACTCTGAGCATGTCCATGGGGCTGGTGGCTGTCATGCTGGGAGGAGCTGTCCAGGTGAGTTGCAAACATGAGCCAAACTTGAATGGAGGGAGAAGAGAAAGAGAAGAGGAAAAACCTGGTGTTTCCCTTCCTTACCCTTGTGAGAGATAAATGGATGTTGCACAGAGGAGAATCGGGATAAACAAGTTGTTAATGAGAATTCTCTTCAAAGTAGAACACCAGAAAATTGTGCCACTTCCACCTTATCGCCTACATAGTGGTCACCATCAGAAGGAAGGGCCCTTTCTGACCTGGCACAAGCCTGATTTGAACACCCCCAGCACAGTGTTCTGCATCTGTGGCAAACACTGGGTTCTCTTACCCTCCCTCCCTGCAGTGGCTTTGCAAAGCTCATCCCTGCTGTTGCAGTTGTCTGGAGGAGGGAGACCTTTGCAGCCTGCTGGTTGCCTAGGGTCCCATCTGTTTTGAATTGTCTTGTTTTAGCACCGGATCCATTATTCAACCCAGGTCAGGTAGCATGGTAAAAGCTTTGTTTCCAGTGCATGTGTCTTACATATGTAATTTATAATCTTTTCATTTATTCACTCAAAAAATTTTTGCCGCATATTTGCTACCTGCCACTTACTGAGCTAAGGTGCTGGGAATACAGCAGTGGTCAGAGAAGACATGGTCTCTACCCTCATGAAGCTTGCAGTCCAGTAAGGGAGTCTGATACCAAATAACTACTCAAAAAATATACTTAGAATTGAATGAAGTGCCTCAGAAGAAAAGCAGAGGGTACCAAGAGAACATAGCATCCAACCTAGGCTGGGAAGGTCTCTACTGAGGAGGTGTAAGTTGAAGGAGTCTTGAAGGATGGATAGGAATTTGGAAGTGTGTGGGACAGACGGAGGAAACTCTCCCAATTAAAGAAAACATCTTGTGCAAAGGCTGGGAAGCAGGAAAGAGCTTGGTATACTTCAGACACTGACAGAAGACTGGTATAGCCGAAATGTAGAGACCTAGGGGCAAAAAGTACTGCCAGACAAGGCGGAAAGGTAGGCACTGGTTAATTATATACCACATCAGGTTGGGAAACTAGTAGGAGGTAGAATGGGCTTAGTGCAATGCAACTATTATGAAATCTAACCTGAAGTCATGCTAGCCACAGCTTTTAGTAATGAGCAAGGAAGCCTTTGGGACTGAATTTGAGTTTGAGGATTCAAATTTGATACTGATTTTTGATATGTTAGAATTTTCCATCTCTGGCCTGTCCTGCAAGAAAAAAGGAATTTTACTTTGACCTGTTGTTAACATGAAGCCCATTTCTTGGTAGATTTACTTATTGCTCCTAATTTGATATTTACCATATAGTTCGAGAAAAAAACATTTTTGATTCTGTTTCTGGGGTTCTATTATATCCCTGCTAATAGAACTGTCAAGGAGGAATCACCAATGGAATAGTTTTTAAGTTGAATTGATATTGGATTAAGTTGGCTGATTGGTTTTTATTTTTGTGGTTGAGTATTAATTTGAAAATTCTTTGTTGATGTAAGTTGAGAACATAATTTTTTTTTGCTTTTCTTCCCTTTTATTTATCATTGCAAACTATATCCCAAATGGGAAAATCTCCATTTCCCTTTCTGAAAGCCCATTGTTTGGGACTGACTGTGTAAATTAGTAATGTTCTAAGAGAGACTCACATGATTTATGCAAATATACATCCCTCACCTGTCCCTGCCCTTCCATGAGCCATCCTGACTCACCGATGACATCCTGGATTCATTTCTCTGACTTTGCAGTTGCTTAAGTGAATACTTAAACACATCACCCCTGTATTTTGCCCTACATCTATTATTTTTTCCCCGTTTGGTTCATGGATTTCTAAGTAGCTTTTAGAGTAATGCTGGGTTTTCTGTCTTTTTGTTGGGAAAAAAGTCACAATTCTGAATTATGTTTTCAGATCATCAATCTAAGGCTTAGGGTTTTTTGGGTTTTTTTGCTTCAGAGTCTAGAAGATTATACTGTACCTATGCCCAATTAGGATTCATTGGTTTAGCTAATGAAACAGTATCTAATAGCATTTGAACCTTTCTTTTTTTTCCTTTCTAATTTATATAATTAAGGTGATTATTAGAACATAGTGTCTGGGAAGCAGAGTTAATTAGGAGAAAGTGTAGGCTTAAGACAACTATAATTCCAAACTCATTTCTAAATTTCAGGATTGGCCATCAGTAAAAATAGTACGATCCCCTCAGGAAGCGGTTTCTCCCTGCTGTCCCCTGGCCTCCTCTGGGTGTCATACCTTTTACCATCTGTTTCTCTTTGCAAGAAACACCTTCCTACCACCCTCAGTCTTGGCCCCACCAGCCCAATTCCCGGTTCTCAAACTGAAAACTTGCAGAAGTTTAGAACAACTCACTGGCTGACCAGTTCACTCCTGACGCCCTGAAGGAACTCACAGATGCGGGCTGACTCTGCTCTGCTCATTCCATTCCTGAAGGGTTCCAGAAACTCTGCAGAGAGGCAGCCGGATGAAGGAGTCTGTCACTCACTTGTGGGCTGCTTCTTTGGGCCTCAGGGCGTCTGCACGGAATTCGGAATTCCGAGAGCTGCGCTGGGAAGCCGTGACAGAAGGAGAATGAGGCTTCGTGGTCGCTTCCCAGTTTGGGTGGTATTCCTAGGTGGCCCTGGAAAAGTACTTAACCAGTTAGTGCGTCAGTTTTCTGATCTACCAGTTAAGTGACTATTACTTTATAACTCAGAATCATTTTTTGATATTTATGAACAAGTAGTTGGTACCCGTAGTCTTAGATTTCTCTCATTTTTCTAATAGTGGGAAATCTGTGGGCTTATGAAGCTGAGAGCATGCTGGGCTTTAATTGCCTTACCAGTGCTTTGGTTCAGAATCCACCTACCTGCCCATGGTGATTAGAGGAGTTACCCAGCTTAATAGGATGGATCTTCCAATGAATAAGTTTGAAAACGGGGAGAACAGATTTTTTTAATAGACGATTTTTAGAGAAGTTTTAGCTGCGCAGAAAAATTGGGCAGGAAGTACCAAGACTTCCCATATACCTGCCCACCCCACGGCCAGCGTCGTGCAGAGTGGTGCACCTACTGCAGTCGCTGGGCCTGCATCGACACGTCATTATCACCCACAGTCTGCAGTTCACATTAAAGTTCGCTTACGGTGTACACGCTGGGTTTTGACAAATGTATAGTGACATGTATTTACCATACATAATGGTTTCACTGTCCTAAAAATTCTCAGTGTTCTGCTTGTTCACCCCCCACCCCTAACTGCTGAGAACCACTGATCTTTCTATTGTCTCCACAGTGTTGCCTTTTCCAAAACATATAGTTGGAATCATATACTATGTAGCCTTTTCAGACTGACTTCTTTTACTTAGTCGTATGTATTTAGGGTTCCTCCATGTCTTTTGTGATTTGATAGCCCATTTCTTTTTAGTGCTGAATAGTATTTCACTGTGTAGATGTTCTACAATTTACTTATATGTTCACCTCCTGAACGACCTCCTGTTTGCTTCCAAGTTTTGGCAGTTACGAATAAAGCTACTATAAATATCTCTGTGTAGGTTTTATGGCCATAAGTTTTCACTCATTTGGGCAAATACAAGGAGCAGGGTTGCTGGAGCATAAGACAAGAGTATGTTTAGTTTCGTAAGAAATTGCCAAACTGTCTTGCAAGTGGCTGGACCATTTTGCATCCCTCCCAGCAATGTATGAGAGTTCTTGTTGCTCCACATTCTTGCCAGCATTTGGTGTTGTTTTAGATTTTAGTTGTTCTAGCAGGTATGTAGTGGTATCTCATTGTTGTTTTAATTTGTAGTTCCTTGATGGCATAGGATTTGATATGCTGTGTATCTGTATATCTTCTTTGGTGAGGTGTCTGTTCAGGTCTTTTGCTCATTTTTAATTGGGTTATTTGTTTTCTTATTGTTGACTTTTAAGAGTTCTATGTATATTTTGGATAACCGTCCTTTATCAGATGTGTCTTTTGAAAATTTTTTCTCTTAGTCTGTGGCTCATCTTCTCTTTTTCTTGACAGTGTCTTTTGCAGAGCAGTTTTTAATTTTAATGAAGTCTAAAATCAGACATTTCCTTCATGGTTTTTTTTTCTTGGGTTTTTAACTGAAAAAAAGTCATCACCATACCCAAGGTCATCTAGATTTTTCTCCTATATTATCTTGTAGGAATTTTTTAGTTTTACATTTTAAATTTAGTTGCTGATCTATTTTGAATTAATTTTTGTGATAATGTAAGGTCTGTGTCTGGATTCTTTCTTTCTTCCTTTTTTCCCCTCCCTCCCTCCCTCCCTTCCTTCCTTTTTCTTTCCCTTCACACATCAGTGTCCAATTGTTCCATCCCTATGTGTTGAAAAGTCTCTTTTCTTCATGGTATTGCCTAGGTCTGTTCTTGAGCTCTCTATTTGATCCCATTGGTCTATTTGTTGTTGTTGTTTTAAGAAATTGTTGTATGTAATAGAAGTGAAAGAGAGTCCATGTACTGTAGATATAAGAATATACTCCCATTTCAGATGCTTAAAAAACAAAGGCCCATAATACAACAGAGGTACTGAATGAAGTCTAGCATAATGACAACACTAGCAAAATTACTCTAAAATGTCTTTTCCAGTTCCACTAGATTCCTGATAAAATTTACGTTTTTCTTAGGTGACATATGCCTTCACTGTAAACATACATATTGTCTTCCTTAAGATACCGTCCCATGGGAATGGTCAGTTGTTTTACACATGAAGATAAGCTGACATACGTTACAGAACTAGAACTTCTACCTTATGCCAATTTTGCATTAGTTTCTAACTGTTTAAACAAAGAATACTGAGGGAGTGTATGGTGACATTCTGCATGTACTAACCTGTCATGTGCTGCAGGTTTTTATTTACTTTGGAGGGCAGCTGTGGGGAAAGCGAACAGTAGCGATTCTGCGGACTTGTCTTGTGAAGTGAGAACGTTGGATGGGTCCTACAAAAACACTTAGTTGGTTAATTGGTTGGTTGGTTGGATAATGAAACAAGTGAATGAATAAGTAATAAATACCCTGCCTTATTCTAACAAGGACTTAAAACCTGCAAGGTTTTCAAGTTATCAAGGACTCGCAAAGCCTCATATGATAATTTTTCCACCATTTTCAAACAAAGATTCTCACCGATTCTTGTTTTCTTCACTAACTGCACGTGTATCTTTCCTATCAAGGCCTATGGCATTATTACAGCAAATCTCCTGGAAAAAACCCAAAATCCTATGTAAACTTCACTTGTACTTTCTAGGAGAAATTCCCTTTTACCAGTTATTGTCCCATTCTGTTCCAGACCTAAGGTGCCATCATATGCTAACCAGCCGCTTTAGATCACAGCTTTGCTTGTTCAAGTGAGACCACGTAGGGTGTTGGGTAAGATACAGGCTCTGGAGCCAGACTCATTGAGTTCATGTCTTACCATCTCCAAGTTATGTGGCCTTGGACATGTTGTTTAATTGTTCTCTGCCTCAGTTTCCCTCTGTTTAAAAAGGAAATAATTTTAACTAGATCATAGAGATATGAATATGTGTGTTTTGTTTATCACACTTATTTTTTAAATATTTACATAGTACTTACTATGTGTCAGGCACTAAGTACTTTGCTAGTGTGAACTCATCTTTGTATGGCAATAGGTATGTAAAAATAAAAAATACAATAATCAGGAAAATCATTTTATGATATGATTGAGTATTAAAATCAGATTTGGTGAGAATAGCGGTAGAGATAAATAGTTTCATAGGTAAGTGGGTCCAAAGGATGTTAACAGTCTGTCCACAGAAAAAGAAATGCAGACATTCTATAAACATGAAAAGATAATTAATAGTGCTGTTAGCCTGGCTAATGCAAATTAAAGCCATAAGATACCATGTCCTGCTCCTCAGATTGTACAAATTAAGAGTAATAATGTACATTACTGACATTTTTTAACTTATAAAAGTACCTATACATGGTAAGTATCCAGTAAATGTTTTTTAAAATATATTTTATTGATTATGCCATTACAGTTGTCCTATTTCCCCCCTTCATTCCCCTCCACCCAGAACACCCCTCCCCCACATTCCCCCCTTTAGTTTATGTCCATGTGTCTCAAGTTCTTTAGATTCCATATTTCCCATACTATTCTTGCCCTCCCCCTATCTATTTTCTACCTACCATCCATGCTACTTATTAACTATACATTCTCCTCCCTTCTCCTCCTCTCACTCCCCCATTGTTAACTCTCCATGTGATCTTCAGTTCTATGGTTCCACTCCTGATCTAGCTGTCCTCTTAGTTTGTTTTTGTTTTAGGTGTGGTTGTTAATAACTGTGAGTTTGTTGTCCTTTCACTGTTCATCTTTTTTATCTTCTTTTTCTTAGATAAGTCCCTTTAACATTTCTTATAATAAGGGCTTGGTGATGGTGAACTCCTTGAACTTGACCTTATCTGAGAAGCACTTTATCTGCCCTTCCATTCTAAATGAAAGCTTTGCTGGATAGAGCAATCTTGGGTATAGGTCTTTGGATTTCATGACTTGGAATACTTCTTTCTAGCCCCTTCTTGCCTGTAAGGTCTCTTTTGAGAAATCAGCTGACAATCTGATGAGAACTCCTTTGTAGGTGACTGTCCCCTTATCTCTTGCTGCTTCTAGGATTCTCTCCTTCATTTTAATCTTGGCTAATGTAATGATGATGTGCCTCGGCGTGTTCCTCCTTGGGTCCAATTTCTTTGGGACTCTTTGAGCTTCCTGGATTTCCTGGAAGTCTATTTCCTTTGCCAGATAGGGGAAGTTCTCCTTTATTATTTGTTCAAATAAGTTTTACATTTGTGGCTGTTCCTCTTCCCCTTCTGGTACCCCTATAATTCGGATGTTGGAGCGTTTAAAGATGTTCTGGAGGTTCCTAAGCCTCTCCTCATTTTTCTGAATTCTTGTTTCTTCATTCCTTTCTGTTTGGTCATTTTTTTCTCCCTTCTGGTTCACTCCCTTGATTTGAGTCCCAGTTTTCTTTCCATCACTATTGGTTTCCTGTGCATTTCCCTTCATTTCAATTAGTTTAGCCTTCATTTGTTCCTCTAATTTGTGACTAAAATCAGCCAGTTCTGTGAGCATCCTGATCACCAGTGTTTTGAACTGTGCATCAGATAGGTTGGCTATTTCTTGGTCACTCGGAAGTATTGGCTCTGGGGTTTTGAGCTGTTCTTGAGCCATAATGTTTTGGTCTGGTTGCACCTGTTACGTATAAGGGGCGGAGCCTTAGGTGTTCAGCAGGGTGGGGCCACCCAATTGCTGGGTTTTGGCGCTGTATGTGGGGGTGGGATCAGAATGGGGCAGTAGTGGTCCCCTCTGCTGCTTCCCGCCGCTGGGGCCTGTGTGGTCTGTCTCACTGCTCAGTCCTTTGCCTGGTTTATCTGCACGCATATGTGTGACCAGAGTCAGCCTGCTGCCTTGCACCTTCACTGGGTCTGCCTGTTGCACCCCCATGCCTGGGATACACGATCCGCCAATTGCCGCCGGTGCCTGGGTCGGTCCAGCTGACTTTTCCTGCACAACCCTGCTCCCCCAGCCACTGGCTCTGCCCCTCTTACCAGTCTGGCTGAATGGTTCATTGTTGTCATACTTTTTTTTGTTCAATTTTCTGTGTTTTGGTTGCATTTTTGTTACTAAAACTTTGTTGTCTTTAAACTTGGTTGTGCGAGGAGGCACAGTGTTTCCACCTACACCTCCATCTTGGCGGGAAGTCTCAATAAATGTTTTTTGTTGTAATTATTCAACAAGGGTTATTAGTGCCAGACTCAGGCTACCAGGCACAAGATTTGCTCCCTGTCCCTTTTACTCAGGATGTGTTTGTTGCCTTAGGTTCAAGTCTTGTTAACATCCGCTACATTCATTTGGGCTTGCCATTTTTCCTTTCATCTTGTAGTTGAAATCAAGTGACTTTGCTGTCCTGAAGCAATTGCTGTCTCTCTTGGAGAAGGTCTCCCTCACGTACCCGGACCCTGTCATCCAAGAACTTGCTGCGGACCTCCGCATCACCATCTCTACCCATGGGGCCTTTTCCACCGAGGCTGTCAGTGTGGCTGCCCAGAGTGCCCTGAGCAAAAAGGACCCAGAAGGGAAAATAGAAGGGCAGCAACAAAACAGTCGTGAGAGGTACACTGATGTGCCCCATGGCCAGCTCAACCAACAGCAAAGCCCTGGGAAACCCAACCAAACCAGCCGAGAATCTAGTGCTCCACTCAGTCCTCCAGAGGTCAGTGAGCCCAGCACTACTACAAGCCAGAAAACTAGAAGCGTAACCACAGAACAGCTCCAGGAAGTTCTTTTATCTGCTTATGATCCTCAAATTCCAACACGGGCTGCTGCCCTGCGAACTCTTTCTCACTGGATAGAGCAGAGAGAAGCAAGAGCCCTTGAGATACAAGAGAAGCTTCTCAAGGTGAGTGGAACAGGTTACAAACACACACACGCAGGGTGGGGCAGCCTTGCTGGAGCCTGACTGTATCATCCCTGTCTGGGTGCTTTCAGGGAACGTGTAATTGTTCTGAGGAGGCAAGACGTAGGCATAGGAAAGACCTGGGTAACCACACAAGGCTAAATTGAACATGAAGAGATCACCAGAATTTTTACAGGCAGGAAATGCTATGGACAGTCATACAAGGAAGAGAGCTGAACTCTGAAGGAAGTAGATCTTGATATGGCCTTAAAAACTAGTGAAGTTTGAGCATGTGAAATAAGAGGGGAAGGAACAGCACAACCAAATTTCCAGAGTTGGGAAAGTATTTTTCTGGTAAAAAGATTCAGTGTCACCACTGTGATCCAGCCAGATAAGCCACCTGTTTTCTCTGGGCGCCCCTTTAGAGGGGCGTTCGGCATAGACTGATGTGGGAGAACATACGTGCTGAGCTGGGGGTCTTTTCCCTTTTGTGGAAATTGTCCTGACCTTAGTGCTTGTTAAGAGCAAGTGGTCTAGAGGCTGCCGACCGAATTCCAGATCCATTTTTTTACACAAGTCACTTAAACTCTCTGTCTTGATTTCTACGTTTGTAAAGTGTAGAAACTTTATGTTGAAAGATTTAAAATAAAACCATCCATGTAAAGCTCTAGTTACAGTGCTGGGCATATTGAGCACCAAGTAAAGGTTGGCTGCTGCTTCATTATTATCTCTTCCATATAGTTTAGCCATTAGACTAAGAAGTATAAGTCTGATTGGAGACGTTTATTTTTTAGTCACTAAAGTATTAGAATCAACAATATAAAAGTAACTGCTACTTATTGAGCCAGGCCCTATACCTTTCAGGCATTGTCTGTAGGCTGCAGTATTGGTATTTCCACCCCCCACCCCCAGCTCCCACTTTGTAGAAGAGAAAAGCAAGGAATGGAAATGTGTCAAGGACTTGTTGTCATTAAATGTTGCTGAAAACCTCAAATTATATATCTTTTTTTGAGAAATCATTAAAAATACCCCTTCACATTCCTATTTAATGGTGAATGGAGTGAACATCTTTTGAATTTTAAACTTGTTTAATCCCCCTCTGCTGTACATAATAAATAGGTCATCAAAGTCCCGTCTGTTGCTTTTTTTCTTCTAAGAAACGTTTCAAATTTATCTTTTCCTCTTTCTTCCCACACTGCTACCCACACTGCTACCTGGATTCAGCTTCCTTTATTTCATACATGATCCCCACCTTTTCCACCTGGCCATCTTCCCAGTGAATGAGTCGTAGGCCCCCTGACGTGCTGCCCATGCGGAGACCAGCACCCCCAGTGCATGTCAGGAATCGCTGTGCCAGTGAAAGATGAGACACTATGAATGGAACAGCCACCCCGCTTCCGTTAGACATCAAGCAGGAGGGACAGGCACACGGCCACTGTCTTTCTCTCACCCTCCTGTGAGGGCCTAAACCTAACATGTCACTGTCGTATTTTCTGGATAACAGGACCCACACTGGGTGACATGCCCTGGTATGTCCCTAAATTGTGAGATGTGCTGAGAGCAGTTTGTTATTAATGTCAGCTGAAGTGCTCGAATTTGGAAAAGATTTTGAAAAATGAATTAGAATAGATTTAAAGGTATCCCGATAATAACGTTTTCATCTCTCGCTTGTATTTCCATGTGCTTTCTGAGTGCAAGAGAGAAGGATCAAATTACAGCACATGTGCCACCAGTTGGGCATGACCGCTCGCCTGGCCTTCTGTGTGTCATGGCCTGTAGTCTGTCATGTCATACGTGAGAGCGTTGTCCACCATGGGCTCTCATGGACTTTTCCTCCAGATTTTGGTTTCCATGCCTATTCCTGGTGTATACATGACTACTTCTTTTAACACTGCCTTTTTCAACTATTATAAAAATGGGACTTCAAACTTATGTGCTATTTTCTCCATAAGACTTTAAAGTCAGGCCGATGTCTAGCTAGCTAAGACAGATGAGTAGAAAAGCACTTATTCTTTTGAGGCTGCTACTAGAGTCTCCATCCTGCCTGCTCTTTTGAGTCACATCACTGCTGTATTTTGTGGTTCCAGATATTCTTGGAGAACCTGGAGCATGAAGACACCTTTGTGTATCTGTCTGCCATCCAGGGTAAGTGAGTCCTGGTTCAAGGACTTGAGTCTATGTCCGTCATGTATGTTTACACCAGTTTCTAAAGGCACAGAGCCACAGGACTGCTGACCTTCCTGTAGCCTCTCCATGACTTGGTTTCCGATTCCCGGAGGGTTCCCACAGGGTCCTTGTGGAGTTTCAGTGTCTCTCAATGCTGAGGAGGCCTTATTTATGTTTACTTATTCTGTGGACTAAATCCCACTTCCTGTAATTCAAGGAGATAAAGAATGGCTCACATATGAGCTCTTATTACACTAACCTTTTATGTATTTGACTACTGTCAATATGTACCTTTGCTCTCTCTTTAAACTCACATGATCTCAGGGTATTTAATGTTTCTTCTTCAAAACATTTTTTGCAGTACTTTTCTTTCTCTTTTGTGATTCTTTGCTGTCATCCACATCTGTATTAGTTTTTGGATCCCAGATATAGGGAGGGAGCTCATGAAATTGGGGGTAGAGGATTAGTCACCCAAAAGGGCACAAGGCAGACGTGATGAGACAGAATGAACTCACACGTCTCTCGACTCCGGTCATAGGGAGCCAGGGCTCTGGAGACAAAGCACCTGGATGCGGCTCCCATTCCCTGCTTCTCAGCTAGAAGAACTCTGGCAAATTGCTTAATCTCTCTGGGCCTCAGTTTCTTACTGTAAAAGGGAGCTAAATAAGAGTGCAAAATTATACACCCCTTTGGAAACCAGTCCGGTTATTCCTTGAAAAGACACATGTAGAGTTACCACTTGAGCAGTCACAGTCCTAGTAATGTACCGAAGAGAAATGAAAACGTCCGTCCACACAAAAACTTGTACGTGGGTGTTCATAAGAGCCCAAAGGTGGGAACAGCACAAATGTTCATCAGCTGCTGAATGGATAAACAAAAGATGGTATGTGCGTATGATGGAATGTTATTTAGCTGTTAAAAAATTAATGAATGAAACTTGCTGCAGCATGGATGAACCTTGAAAACATTGTTAAGTGAAAGAAGCCAGTCACAAAAAAACACATGTTTTATGGTTCCTTTATGTGAAATGTCTAGAATGGGCAAATTTATAGAAACAGGAAGTAGATGAGTGGTTGCCAGGGGATGCAGGGAGGGGAGAAAGGGTTGGGAGGTGATAGCTAAAGGGCATGGGGTTGCACCACTCTGTGAGCACGCCAGGAGCCATTGAACGTGCACTCCACATCAGTGACTTGTATGGAGCAGCGGTCCCCTCTTACTGCAGGTGGTATGTTCCAAGTCTCCCAGTGGATGTCTGAACTGTAATCAACTTCCTCAACTCTGCCGGAAATGTGGCAGCATCTTCATGGGCAGCCACACCTTTTTCAGTCATTTCTATATTATTCAGTCCAAACCTATTCCTGAGTCTGTGTAACTACTTCTCACTTGCAGTAGATCTCTTGGTGTCCCTCGTTTCGGAGGGTCACTTGCTCAGGTCTTTCTGCAGGCTCAGTGCTTTCTGGCACTACACGTTGCTGTCAGTCAGAACACATTTTCTTCTCATTCCTTCCACCCACATTTGATGCCTTTCTGTCTCGACTAAGCACTTATTAGGTGCCATGCAGGCTACTTTTGCAATTTGCAGTGCAATAGCAGAACTAGCCCAACTTTCTTTTTCCTTCATCACAATTTCATGGATAGAAGGTTTGTTTCTACCTCAACATATGACTTTTTTCCCATATTAATTTGAGAACTTTGGCCTTGTCGCTTATAGGAAGTACTTTACCCCTTCCTGTGGTGTATTCACATGCCAGCATCATTATTCTTGGGCTTTGGGGCCACTGTTAAGTGCAGTAAGGGTGACTTGAGCACAAACACTGTGGTGCTGTGACCGTTGATCTGATAGACCTGAGGACCAAGGTGGCTGCAGAGTGACTAGTGCACAGGTGGTGTCTGCTGTGTGGGCCCGCTGGACAGGGGGTGATCATGTCCGAGGTGGGGTAGAGCTGTGTGCTGGGAGATTTCATTGTGTGCTCGGAATGGCGAGCAGTTTAAAACTCATGATCTGTTTATTTCTGGAATCTCTCCTTTAATATTTTTGGACCATGATTGATCACAGTAACTGAAGCCAGGGAAAGCGTACCTGCTGGTGAGGGAGGACCACTGTGCTTCCACTGTTTGATGGCTAGGTAACGACATGGTGATCTCTGTGCCCTCTCAGATCTAAAGCTTGAGCAGGCTGATCCTGTCAGTTAGTTATTGCTACATGGCAATCTACCCCAACACTCAGTAGCTTAAAACACCAGTCATTTGCCATCATTCACACATCTATAGGCCCATGTGGCTCAGCTGACCTAGGGTGGGCTTGGTCCAGAAGCTCTGCTTCTCCCTGGAGGCCTGTCAGCCAGCGGTGGTGGCTCTGCCAAACATGTTCCAATCATCCCCGGCCTGATGGCCTGCCAGGGCATACTCCCTTGGTGACAGCAGCAGTGTAAGAGAGCAAGAATAAACTCAAGAGGCCTCTTCAGGCCTAAGTTTGGAGCTGTAATCCTATCACTTCTGCCTCATTCTGTTGACTAAAGCAAGGCATGTGGTGGAGAAATATACTCTGTCCCTTTAGTGGGATAAACTGCCAAATCACAGAGTAAAGGGCATGGATGCAAGGAGGCATGAAGAACTGAAGCCAGTAATGCAGTCCTTCATGCTGATTGCCTGCAAAAGACAGGGTTTCTCTGTGAGCACAAAGGCACGTACGGATCCTTACTGACTACTTATCTCTTGGTATAATTTGGGTCTAATTGACTCTGTACAGAGCTAGTAGTTGAAGCTTAAAAAAGAGTACAGAGGGCAAAATATACAATCATGAAGGCCGGAGCCTTGGGATTTGTTCTTTATTCAGCAAACATCTATTGTGCGCCTACTATATGTGAAACATGTAACAGTGAGGTGTGTCTAGGTTAAAAAGCAAAAAGGGAATTCTTCAAAGGAGGCAAAACGATCACCCAAAGAGGTTAAAGGACAATTAGGTGAGAAAAGAAGCTGAAAGAGTCAAGATTTCAAGAGAGAAAGTCATTCCCTGCAGCCGAGAGGCCAGAGTCTAGCAATTGAAGTCAGTCTGGAACCTGACAGGGCTCAGGAAGCTGCACGACAATGATGGTATTTATGGGAATTAAATAAATCAATGAAGTGCCTGTAATTAAAATGCCTATAATTAATAAGTCTTAGAAAACAAGTCACTCTGTACTTTTCCTGAGAAACTGTAATAATGTGACGGAGATGTTTCTCATTGATTTTTTTTTTAGGGCTGGGGGTTTGGGAAGCCTCAGTGTGTCCCTCTAATGTGGCAACATTGCTGTTTGAAACAAGCTTCTTAGCTGATTAGCCCATTGAGCTCATTAGCCCCTAGGGCCTGCTATAAAAATCACAACTGTTGGTTTTGTGTTTGTATTTAGTCATTTTAATTGGTGTGCTAATCAGTTAGTAGCTAATTTGGTGATGAAGAACATGGGAGGTAGAGGTGTAATTTCTGTTCTCAGCTCCCCTCGATGGACGAGTTTGAATTAATTGATGTTTTTGGTGTTTATAACGTACACTTAAAGACCAAGGCCTTAGGTGAATTTCCCACTAAGAAAAGAAGGAACCGAATTTTCCCACCCTTATTGCCAGTGTTCTGTGCCCAGGCCTAAAGCACTGCAGGAGCCAAGCCATGCGGACTTCCACTCAGACGGGACCAGCCCACTCGTAAATGTCCCGCAGCATTAGGAGTGCTTAGCTGTGACTTCAGTGGCTTTAGTTTGGGGGAGTGTGTGTTTAATGTTTTCCTTTTCTAGGCTGCCTGAATGGCTCCACGTAAAAGTTACAATATACCTTTTACTTAATTTATTGATATTTTGGATTTCTTTTGTAATTTTTTACCAACTTTGCAGTGTTAGCATAGGGCAGAAGGGAATTAAATAAGCTCATTCATTCATTCAACAGACAGATGTGTATTGATACCTGATGTAGGAATTTCTTATGTGTGTGTTACCTGCCCCTCACAACAACCTGAGAACTAAGTTCCCTAAGAGTTACATTTTAATTTTATGGAAGATTGCCTGTATCTACTTTTAGCCCTAGTAAAAAAGTGATGGTTGACTTAGTTATTATAGCAGCTGCCCTCACGTGCTCGGGAGCAGCCTCCGCAGGCAGAGGATTATAAACCACTTTGCTGAATCCCAGTTATAACCCAGTTTATAAATGGACGATCGCCATTAAGTGTCTCCCCCTTTTAAGACTCTGTATATTCTTTTTTTCATTGTTTAAAACAATTTTAAGTGACATGGGAGTATTACATAAGATAAGAAGTGGAAGTTCTTCTTTTTTCCAAAATTGGAGTTAAAAATATGTCCTTGAGAGTCCCATGACTTATATTCGGTGATTTGGGCATTTTCAAACTTCAGTTTTGAAATCGGTGTTTAGTAAAGAATGTGATGAACACATAGTGATAATCTTCAAATATGGTGTCACAGCCAGGTTACGTACCATACTGTGGGTCTGCTCACGTGTCTCCCCAGTCACTTTCAATTACTGAAGGACGTACCGAAAGCGACACCAGAGGCAGATGTATTTCAGGGATCCAAGTGCTCCCTGTAGTGTCAAAAGGATTTTTGGATAAAACCACCAGCCTCATTGAAAAAGGGGGGAAAAACCCCAAAAGAAACAAAACAAAATAGAAGAACCTAGATTCTGAGCCAAGCTTGAGAGGTACAAGTAAGTCGGCATGTGTAGTGAAGAGAATCTCGGCATCTAGACATGCCCAAGCAGATCGCACTGACTCTTCCTTTCAGTTTTCATTTCTGACAAAAGAGCCAAGGAAAGAGAAGGCAAAGGGCCCTCCAGGGGGGAAGGTATACTCAACGGTGAACTTGTTTTTACAGCGTTTCAACTGAGCAGTGTTACAAATCTTAACTTGTCGGAGACCAAACTCCCTATCTCGTTCTCAGAGTTCCACCTCAAATGAAGTACGCTGGGAAACCATTAACTGAAAATAATTCTACCCCTTC